ATAGAACGTCTTTGTGGTTCCGTCAGCTGATAATAGAACGTATTTGTGGTCCCGTCAGCTGATTATAGAACGTCTTTGTGGTTCCGTCAGCTGATAATAGAACGTCTTTGTGGTGCCGTCAGCTGATAATAGAACATATTTGTGGTCCCGTCAGCTGATGATAGAACGTCTTTGTGGTTCCGTCAGCTGATAACAGAACGTCTTTGTGGTTCTGTTCCCAGAGGATCGCGGCTCTCACGGGGAAACCAATCACATTGGAGAAGACGGAGGTTCCGAGGAGGAGAACTAGCCGCCTGCCGCAGAGACACAGCGGGCCGGACCCGCCCACCTTCTACTCAGAACCCAGCACCAACTCCTTACTTCAGAACAGTCGCCTGCACTCCTCTGAACTGGCCAATCAGAGGCCTCCACAAGGAGGCTCCGCCTCCTCCGGGCCGTCAGGGCAGCAGCTGCGGAGTCCAGATGGAGAGGACGTCTCTGCCTGCAGCGACCTGGAGTCAGGCGTGGCCGACCTCAGCAGCCGCTCGTCCTGCGGAGGAGACGATAGCAAGGACCCGGAGCTGGAGTGAGGCTGGCCATGCTGCTGCCTGACAGAAATAAAGGGAACCCAGTCTGTTTAGACGGAGCGGGACGGCTGGCTCAGGCTAATAACAGACAGAACCAAACCGGTTGCAGGCCTCACATAAACTCATCAAGCAGCCATTTTTCGTTTACCTTCTGCACCGCTCCACGCAGGCGGCGTTTTGTTTGCAGATTCAGGATTTAAGTGATTTACTGTTTTTAAATAAACCACTGCAGGGCAGACAGGTGTCATGCTGCGGGCTACAAGAGGTAAGAGGAGAGACAAATATATCTGAGAGCGAACGGTTACGGTTACGTCTGGATCAATCTCCACGGCAACTGAGCAGGTTTTGTTGTTGTAAACCAGGTTCTGGGCCCAATCAAAAACAATCCTGATATTCAGGTTTAACGTCTCCCATTGGTTCCTACGTTCCTCTTTTTTTAACTCACTCCTCAAGATGTGAGGTTTTAGAGGCCGATTTACAGGACGTAGTCGGCCTCCTCCAACAATCCGAGCTGTAGTTGGCTTTACCGCATCCATAGAACCGAATGTGGGGGAAAACAGAAGTTCTTTAAGCGATCCACAGAGACTTCACTCTGAAAATGTGAACAACTGAATGTTTACAGCAGACAGGTGGAACCCAGGGCTTCCTGCCACCTGGTTGGTCATTTTATTGCTTCTAATTTATTTATTTTTTTTAATTAAAAATCTCAATGATTCTTTTCAGGTTCATACATGGAGCAGGTAGAGGAGCTCCTGGGGGACGGACTTCTTGACCAAACCAAGCAGATTCTGACTATAGATCTGTCTGCAGCTACATCTAAGAGTCTCCTTCTGCAGATCTAGATCATCTCTATATCTGCAGATTTATGTCCCCAGCTTTCAGTCTTCAAATCTGCCTCCACAGCTCTATTTCTGCAGCTCTGTGTGTGCTAATCTACGTCTGCAGTTCTATACACGTATATCTAAAACCACTGCAAAGCCTGAATTTATGTCATGTCTCCTTTAGGGTTCCATGCAGTCATTCTTCGTCTTCCCTAACCTCCCTTAGAACATTAGAACCTGTTCTCTGCTGCCTGTGGTATTTGTACAGTCAACATTGTGTATCTTTGATGTAAGCAATCAATAAAAGCTCTGATAAAGGCGAACAGCTGCAACGTCAAAACTTTGATCATCTACCGTAAATAAGTTGAAGCGAAGGAAAAAAAAACCTCCAGGGTGGCTGGAACTTCTAGAAACACGGATCCTGCTCAGTAGAGCAGCAGAGGCGGATCCCTGTCGGCCATCAGAGCCGAGGTGCAGCTGTGGCGTGTTGCCAGCAGACATAGTGACCTGTGTCACTCACTCAGGTCAGACCGTTCTGCCATTTTACTGAGAGCTCAGCTGCTTCCCCTCAGATTAAAATACCTTTCTGCCTCCAGAATCCTTTAAAATATTTGAAATGTTTCATGTAACTGAAATTGTTCCTTTGTCTTTAGGTGTGCAGCAGAGTTGAAGCATCAGAGAGATGCCAAACCTGAAGGTTTCATTAATTTCACATCCATCTCTGAACTTTTAGGCTAATATATTTAAAACAGCAGCTTATTAACCCTTTAAAACCAATTGTATCATATTCGATACATGAGTTTTTAAGATCTTTGCATCATCAGTGTGATCTTGCTTATCTTAAAAACCCTGACTTAAACAATCAGACACATGTAGTGAACAGAAAACGTATATAATATTCTACAGAAATGCTGAATGTATCAGAATTGATGCAAATAAAAGGTTTAATTTAACTTCTACAATATATATATATATTCCTTTTCTTTCATTTTTCAGAGTTCAATGACACCTCTAAATAAAAAAATTGAATTTCTCTGTTAATTATTTCATGGTCCAGGCTTTAAAGGGTTAACAAATCATGGGTGGGACTGTCTAGGGCTGTGCTAAACCGCTTCAGATCTTTATTTGCTAACTGGATCATTCAGTTAGTTAATGGAGGAAAAACCAGGTTGTTCAGAGAAAGTTCATATTGAAAAAAATAGAAATTATAAAAAAGATTTCATTCAAAAATATTCATTCTAAACAGGAAATTGTAGTTCTTATTCATATTACAACACCTTTAACCCCTAGAACCCTACGGACCCACCGGTGGGTCCAGCTGCTACGTGACCTCGTAATTTTAACAAACCCCNCCAGCTGATGATAGAACGTCTTTGTGGTTCCGCCAGCTGATGATAGAACGTCTTTGTGGTTCCGCCAGCTGATGATAGAACGTCTTTGTGGTTCTGTTCCCAGAGGATCGCGGCTCTCACGGGGAAACCAATCACATTGGAGAAGACGGAGGTTCCGAGGAGGAGAACTAGCCGCCTGCCGCAGAGACACAGCGGGCCGGACCCGCCCACCTTCTACTCAGAACCCAGCACCAACTCCTTACTTCAGAACAGTCGCCTGCACTCCTCTGAACTGGCCAATCAGAGGCCTCCACAAGGAGGCTCCGCCTCCTCCGGGCCGTCAGGGCAGCAGCTGCGGAGTCCAGATGGAGAGGACGTCTCTGCCTGCAGCGACCTGGAGTCAGGCGTGGCCGACCTCAGCAGCCGCTCGTCCTGCGGAGGAGACGATAGCAAGGACCCGGAGCTGGAGTGAGGCTGGCCATGCTGCTGCCTGACAGAAATAAAGGGAACCCAGTCTGTTTAGACGGAGCGGGACGGCTGGCTCTGGCTAATAACAGACAGAACCAAACTGGTTGCAGGCCTCACATAAACTCATCAAGCAGCCATTTTTCGTTTACCTTCTGCACCGCTCCACGCAGGCGGCGTTTTGTTGGCAGATTCAGGATTTAAGTGATTTACCGTTTTTAAATAAACCACTGCAGGGCAGACAGGTGTCATGCTGCGGGCTACAAGAGGTAAGAGGAGAGACAAATATATCTGAGAGCGAACGGTTACGGTTACGTCTGGATCAATCTCCACGGCAACTGAGCAGGTTTTGTTGTTGTAAACCAGGTTCTGGGCCCAATCAAAAACAATCCTGATATTCAGGTTTAACGTCTCCCATTGGTTCCTACGTTCCTCTTTTTTTAACTCACTCCTCAAGATGTGAGGTTTTAGAGGCCGATTTACAGGACGTAGTCGGCCTCCTCCAACAATCCGAGCTGTAGTTGGCTTTACCGCATCCATAGAACCGAATGTGGGGGAAAACAGAAGTTCTTTAAGCGATCCACAGAGACTTCACTCTGAAAATGTGAACAACTGAATGTTTACAGCAGACAGGTGGAACCCAGGGCTTCCTGCCACCTGGTTGGTCATTTTATTGCTTCTAATTTATTTATTTTTTTTAATTAAAAATCTCAATGATTCTTTTCAGGTTCATACATGGAGCAGGTAGAGGAGCTCCTGGGGGACGGACTTCTTGACCAAACCAAGCAGATTCTGACTATAGATCTGTCTGCAGCTACATCTAAGAGTCTCCTTCTGCAGATCTAGATCATCTCTATATCTGCAGATTTATGTCCCCAGCTTTCAGTCTTCAAATCTGCCTCCACAGCTCTATTTCTGCAGCTCTGTGTGTGCTAATCTACGTCTGCAGTTCTATACACGTATATCTAAAACCACTGCAAAGCCTGAATTTAAACAGTCATGTCTCCTTTAGGGTTCCATGCAGTCATTCTTCGTCTTCCCTAACCTCCCTTAGAACATTAGAACCTGTTCTCTGCTGCCTGTGGTATTTGTACAGTCAACATTGTGTATCTTTGATGTAAGCAATCAATAAAAGCTCTGATAAAGGCGAACAGCTGCAACGTCAAAACTTTGATCATCTACCGTAAATAAGTTGAAGCGAAGGAAAAAAAAACCTCCAGGGTGGCTGGAACTTCTAGAAACACGGATCCTGCTCAGTAGAGCAGCAGAGGCGGATCCCTGTCGGCCATCAGAGCCGAGGTGCAGCTGTGGCGTGTTGCCAGCAGACATAGTGACCTGTGTCACTCACTCAGGTCAGACCGTTCTGCCATTTTACTGAGAGCTCAGCTGCTTCCCCTCAGATTAAAATACCTTTCTGCCTCCAGAATCCTTTAAAATATTTGAAATGTTTCATGTAACTGAAATTGTTCCTTTGTCTTTAGGTGTGCAGCAGAGTTGAAGCATCAGAGAGATGCCAAACCTGAAGGTTTCATTAATTTCACATCCATCTCTGAACTTTTAGGCTAATATATTTAAAACAGCAGCTTATTAACCCTTTAAAACCAATTGTATCATATTCGATACATGAGTTTTTAAGATCTTTGCATCATCAGTGTGATCTTGCTTATCTTAAAAACCCTGACTTAAACAATCAGACACATGTAGTGAACAGAAAACGTATATAATATTCTACAGAAATGCTGAATGTATCAGAATTGATGCAAATAAAAGGTTTAATTTAACTTCTACAATATATATATATATTCCTTTTCTTTCATTTTTCAGAGTTCAATGACACCTCTAAATAAAAAAATTGAATTTCTCTGTTAATTATTTCATGGTCCAGGCTTTAAAGGGTTAACAAATCATGGGTGGGACTGTCTAGGGCTGTGCTAAACCGCTTCAGATCTTTATTTGCTAACTGGATCATTCAGTTAGTTAATGGAGGAAAAACCAGGTTGTTCAGAGAAAGTTCATATTGAAAAAAATAGAAATTATAAAAAAGATTTCATTCAAAAATATTCATTCTAAACGGGAAATTGTAGTTCTTATTCATATTACAACACCTTTAATTTTTCTTTGGGATAATTAAAGTATTTGAGGCCCCCAAATAAAGTCATTACCTTACGGGATTAAAGTCGTAACATTAGAAGAGTAAAGTAGTAATAGAACTAGAATATTTGGAGATTAAAGTAGCAGCCCACTTTGATTAGTCATCTTACAATCACAACTTTAATATCACAAGTTAATTCTTTCAGTATTATGATTTTATTCTTTAAACGTCCCAGCATGGCCCTAAAACTCTCGTCTATAAATGATGCTTCAGACGTCGGAGAAGAAAAATCTTTTTTCTGGAGATGCTCTGAACCTTCAGGGGTAGAAACCAGAAAAATGATTTTCATACATGAACTAGACTGAAGCATTTTTATTTTTTACAGTAGAACCTTTGTCATTTTTAAGTGCCTTAAGAACAGGAATCAGTAACATCATGTGAGCGTCTCTGGTTCTGTTCCTTTTTGTTTCCAAGAACGCTTCATTAAACCAAAGGAGGCTGCAGCTTCCCTGAATTGGTCCAGGTCCAGTCAGGTGGTTCTGGTGGAGGTAGGCACCCATAGGGTCCGATCATAGTCTCTGCTCTGGGACCCGATGCTTCTGCTGGGCTCTCAGGAGAAGAACAGCTCCTCACAGAGCCGCAGCGTCTCGTCTGGACTGGACACTTCATGGCCGACGGTCCGTGGGTCGCTGTAGATCTCGTAGTCGTTTCCTCCCTGGAAGAGGAGGAGGAGGACATGAAGCCGAATGCAGAGGAAAAGTTCCTGCAGACTCAGGTTTACTTTAAAAATTCTGCTCAGATTAGAGGGAAATGCCTTCATTATAGAAGTCACAACAAGAAATGGAGGAACCGACTGATAGGAAATTTATTTCCTCCTCATCCTTTAACCTCCAAGCTTCTTTAGCGGCTCATCAGAAGTTTCAGTTTCTTCCCCACTGCCATTAGACTGCTGAATGTAGAATGGGTTATTGTATTGTGTGTATATATATATATATATATTTAAAAAGAATTTTAGAACTGTAAATTTAAAACTAAATTTACAGTCATTTTTACTATTTTTCAAGGCTGCAGTTTTCATCTTTTAAAAGATGAAATTGTCCAGTAGGCTGTTTCCAAACGAAATTTCTTTTTGTTTTACACTTGGGTAAACAAAATGACAAATAAAATCTGTCTAAAGTCTATCAGAAACCTGAAAGGGTTTCATCAGGAGAAACATTTATCTTTTTCTTTGGATAAAAAAAAAAAAAAAAAAAGAATGCTGTTGCTATGGCAGCAAATTCAACCTCATTACCCCTGATACCCCTAAATAAAGCACCAAACTAGTGAAGGGACATATTGGCCTAGTCAAAGTTCAAACATAAATCAGGTCTAGAATCTGGCTGGACTTAAAGCTGATGTTCAGAGATTATCTCCGTCTGGTCTGATGGGGAAACAGTGTAGATGTTCAGATCATAGATACTGAATCTTTTATTCCACCTCAGGATTCGACCATATATAGGCCTGCAGATAAAAATCTATAAATTAATGGTTAGTTGTGTGAACTAAGGAGAAATGCAGAAATGATCCATGAGGTGTGAATACTATTGGGAGCTGCACTGCAAAAACGATCTAAAATTAAGTAAAAATTTCTCAAATCAAGTGTATTTAGCTTTAATTTGAGCAGGTAAATAAGATAGTTTGCCAATTGAATGAGTATTTTACACTTAAAATAAGTTAATTAGATAATATGCACTTGAAATAAGACAATGCAATTGATTTTTCTTAATTCAAATGTAAATCATCTTGTTCCATTGGCAAAGTGTTTCATTTACCTCCTCAACTTAGGATAAAATGCACTTATTTTAAGAAAAAATGACTTTTTTAGATTTACATTTTTTGCAGTGTGATAAATCTGATAAAATGACTCCTGAAGTTTCCTCCAGCTTCTAAGGGAAGCTGTTCTCCTCCAAGGCGTTCCTCAGGACAGACTGAATGAGAGCTTTTGACTGTGACCCGTTTAGCAAACTCACAGGTTTGGTTTTGTCTCCAAAGAAGTGGA